TGGGCGGGGCGGGTCTGTCTTCCTGTACCGAAAAGGGGATTACCGAGTCTCTCCCTTATTCTTTCTTCTCAGAAACCTGGTCCGGCCAAAGCAGAGCCGAAACCAAAAAAGGTGGGGTCAAAGGTGAGAGTCACGGGGAAGAGGGGAGGGAGAGGAGGTGATCGGGTTCGTTGTGCACGTGCCCAGTGGCGTCTCGTTTTGCGCCGTTGACGCTCGGTGTCCGCACGTCTTCTCTCATCTTCAGTGTCCCTTATGGGAGCGCTTGTTTACCTGGAGTACCCCTTCCAGGTGCTTCTGCCGCTGTCTACAGGTACCTTCCACCACCGTTTGAGTAGGTCCTTGGTGAGCGCTGTTAGTGTTGCCTAGAAATGTGGGCACTGATTCACAGGTGGTAGGCTGGTACTGAGCAGAACTATGTCGAAGCGATGGTGCATAGGATTGTATTTCATTGCTGTAACACAAGGGGATAAAACATATTAACAGTGTAAAGCAGTGTGTTACGATGGGGGAAAAATACTTGAATTTCAGCTGCCACTGAAAAAGGACTAAGTTTCCATTCATGTAGTCTTAGCTTTCAGGTCTTGGTGTCTAAGTAAGTGTGGTTTAGTATGACCTTTTGATTTTTCAGCATAGCTTTTGTAGTGCCAATAACTGAGGTGTAAAATTCGTTGTTTCTTGGGAGAAATAAAAGAGGCTGTGTATCTGTTGGCTTGTTGGGATATGTGTTTTTAAGTGTTCCTTTGTGATTATCAGCTTTTCTTTTTAATGTATGGATTAAGAGCATTTCAAATACACTAATCTAGAACTCTGCTTGGCAGATTTTTTTTGAAGTTTTCATTTTATTAATCCTACTGAACAGTTACTTACCAGTAATGCACCTCCATTACAATGGTTTCAGTATCAGTGCATTCCCATTCTCGAAGTTGTAAGCCTAAGGAATTTGGGGAAGCTTTCCAATTTTACTTCAGTTCTGATTCTCTGTTTTTTCCTGTGTCTTTGTGTGGTGCATCTAATTCCTAATGCTGCTAGTTGATGCCAACTGATACGCATGATACTGACTTGCTGCCTATAACTACTGCTAGAAAGAAACATTTCCACAGTTCATAGCTGGTAACATACTCATGTAAACCAAGTACATGACAAACAATTGCTATCTCAGACTATTAAGTAGAACGCCTTCCATGAGGCCTCCATGAAATGCTGCTGTAATGTGAATATATGAACAATCTTCTGTTTTTTTTAAATTGCTGTTGCCATCGGCAATTCAAGTAAACGTATAACTTGTTTTACATTTGATCCTCTTCATTCTAAAACTCATGCTGTCACTAAAATCTTTTGTCATTTGGAAACTTTCTCATTGCTAATGTAAAAATCTCTTTTGTTCTGATTGTGTTTTACTTCTCCAGCTTCAGTACTTTCTCATTTTAGCTGTCTCTGGACTTTATTTAAATGGGTGGCAGAAATATTTCACTGTTACATACCAGTCAAATAGTAGGTTTTTAATTTTTTTTTTTTTGTTACTATCTTTCTTCCATATTTTATCCATCAAAATGTGCTTCTTTGCATCAACTTTGTACTTTTTAAAACTTCAACAGTATTTTTTCTGGTTGTGAGAAGTTTGCTTATTATGGAGTTACTTGGTGGGGTTTTTTTTATAAATACTAATGAAGAAAAATATATTTTGACAATCAAAACACAGAAGTCTACTTGTGAAATTGTCTGTTACCTGAATTTGTAATACTGAGTTTAGCCTTTATAACTTTTCAGAAGTATTTTTTTTTCCATTGCCATGTTTCAACTGCTTTCTCTGTGCTCTTGAGGAATTAAAAAAAAATTATAGGAGCAGAGAGTTTCTAAAGTTTTATGGACATGATGATTTAGTTATCTAACACAAGATGCTTCAGCGCTGATTTTTTTCTTGCCTTGCACCTCTTGTATATGTAATTTAACTTACTGTGTGTTTGTATCCAGTGATGTAAAACACTTGCAACTTTTGCTTAGTGGTTGCAATTGGTTGGCAAAACCATATTTTCATGAAGACAGTATTTTCCATGAGCATTCATGTAAAATAGAAAATGTACTCAGATAGCTATTAAAAACCTGCATGTGTGAAGTAAGGAAGTTGCATGGGTTTTGTGAGGAGGAATGCTTGGGGTGAAGATAGTATGGAATACTTCTGACCAAATAGTTTCTCATAGAAACCTGAGATGCGCATTTCTACAGTACTTAAAATGTGCAAAACTGAGAACTTTATTTCTTGGAGTGAATTTTAGGTCAGAGGCAACAAATTAGGACATAATTTGAAGAACATATTTATGCAATGCACACAATGTTTTTTTTTTTAATGAGATAAGATATATTTTAAGGTAGATCAGCATAGTGGTCTTCTGCTGGGAGGTATAAATGTATTATGTTGTCTTGCCACTTACTCACATTGTACCTGCCCAGAAAAAGTGTTGTAGTTTGTCATGTATTGAAAATATTTGTCAGTATTATAAAGTAATATTTGACAGATGGTGTCAAAACCAGTACATTTATGTAATTCTTAATTGACAGAAGTACTTTGTAAGTAGGGGGATCAGCTGGAGGACAGGCAAACTTTGTAGCATTGGGTTGCTGTAAGGAGTGTCTGGGAGGATGTATTACGTGTTTATATGAAAGTAGCTCTTGAACAAATATTTCTTCCCTACCCATTTAACAACAGTCATGTAGGTACAGAGGATGTGACTGGGATACTAACAGAGGAGCACTGAAAATGATACTTCTGGGTGATGCATTTGTTTAGGTTAGGTTACTGAAATTCCCACCTATCAATATGGCGGGGGGAGTGAGGAAGAGTGTTCAAGTACTTTGTTTTTACAAAGTGGAAGGACTACATTGCTGGTTTTTTTTACACGCCAGGAGGTTAAATAATGTATTACAGATTTCTCTGTCTAGCCACTAGAGTCTAGTTAACTTCTCAACCCAGTTTGGTTCTCTCATTTTACTTACTATCTGAAACTGCGACTGTTTGTCTGTATATAGTTTGGAAAACTTTTTTGGTAGTTGAACTATGTGCTAGCTCATTGGTTCTCAGTAGTAGCTCTTGCTGTTTAGCAAGTCCATCTTGGTCTTGTGCTTGTTATTATTTTCAAAGTTTACCTCGCAGGTCTTAAGAATTTACTTACTGGAGATTTATTTCATTGTAGGATAAATCTGAGGACAAGAAAGCTCAATCAAAGGGGAAAAAGGGGCCTAAAGGAAAACAGGCAGAAGAGACAAACCAAGAACAGACAAAGGACACCTTGCCTGCAGAAAATGGGGAAGCTAAAAGTGAGGAGGTAAAGTTGCCTGTACTCTTTGGTGCAAAGCAGCTGGATAACTTACTGTATGGGTTTATCCAAACATCTGTCAGAAACATGCAGTTCTTACAATAGAATCTATTTCTGCCTAAAGAGATGTAGGCTATTGAAATATTAGTGAATAGACCTGAAAAATTCTAGATGCCCCAAAAAGAGCTGCAATTATGTGATAATAGTCCCTGAAATGAAGGGGAAAAGGTGAGAATTTGACCAAAGTTCCAACACAGGATAATGTCCCGAAGAGAGGGGCTGTTCTCCCCGCGGGTAGGTCTTGGCAAAATAATACAGGCAGGGGTGTACAGAGGTTATACTGCTCTGGGGGGGGTGGAATGTCTGTCTTTGGAGCATTTGGTTTGGGTTTTAGTCTGCCTTTGCTGTTACTGGAAGAGAGGTTCCTTCTTGCTACAAAAGTTTGACAAATGCAGTATGCATTTTCTTGGGACTGGAAACAGTTTTCACTGAAAAGCCAAAGTTGAAATTATTTAACCGAAGTTGAGATAACATATATAGCAGTCATAGATACAGACAGTGCTGGCAGGAGGGGCAGGTTGGTTACAAGGATGGAAGAGAAAGTGCAGGAACTACTAATAGTTGTTGTTGCTGAAGAAATGAACATGCCACATGAGCCTTGGCTGTGATACTGTGCTAAAATGGCAGTGTTGTGGAGGTGTTTGGAGTCACTGATCATCTAACTTAAAACATGCTCCATGCTGTATTCTTTTTCTGGAAAGTGGACATAATTAAATTTAGGACAAGATCTGTAGGGAGAAGCAGTGCCTCTTACAAGGGCAGCTGTTAACAACTGGATGAAACGCAAGTTTTCATGTGGCAACAGGCCTAGAATTGGTCTCAGGTTTCTGCAGTATTGAACACCTTGCTCATTTTAATTAGTTCAGTGGAGTTTGCTGATAAGATAGTCAGATGATTTTTTTTTTTTAAGTGTGTGATTCATGCATTCTGTCTGGTTGTTGCACTGAAAAGTAATTTTTTTTTAAGATAGAAAAAAAAGCCTATCTGAATTTTATCACACTGATATATCAGTTTGCAGATAGATCTTTGAGTAGAGGAAAAAAAGTATTTGGTTTTTAGGTAGATGAGGTAGATGATGTGTTTTGGTGGGCGAGGAAGGTACAGGATCCTACCTGAGTGTACAAGACAACTTACTGTGGGGTAACAGTTGTTCATTTGCAAGCTTATGGTGTGATCTTTCTGCAAAAGTTGTGCTGTACCTGGGAATTCTTTAATTGGCTTGACTTTCTGCATAGCTCTGCCTCCCTTTTACTATCATATAATTCAGTCTTTTAGTTAGTGCCTGGTGAAAGTTAAATTTGGCAATATTTTTCAGCAGGGGTCTGTTTACTATGCAAGTGCCAGGATGATGTAAATCTACAAGGAATGGATGATGACTTCCGGGGCACATCATCATGCTGGTCACACAAGCCAGAATTGCAGGTTTCATCTAATACCCAAGTCCAGAAGAGGCAGAGGTGTAGTCCGTCCTGTTGGACGTTACTGTTTTCAGTCGGGACCATCATGTCCATGACGCTGTTGTTAATCCGTGTTCTGGTGACTGTCTTTGGAGTTACATTTCCACTTGCTAACACCTGCGAGTGGAAATGCCTTCCATACTCCCTCTTTCGAAAGCTTCCCCCAGGTGGCAGTGAAGACTGAAGGGGTGATAGTGTTCCTGCCCGGGTGCTACTGTGGTGATTAAATAATCTATTCTGCTGGTAGGACTGCAAAGCTTTGGAATAATCAAGTATAGTTGTTATGTTAATACATAACGTTACATTCCTTTTTTTAACATACATTGCAAATGCAGTGAGTTTTCTGATCTAAATGGAGTTGTAATTTTAAATAATTAAGTAACTTGTTCTGAAGTTGAGGTGCAGTATAGAGAGACTTGAAAACAGTATAGCTCTGCTGCTGCAATTTCCGTTTCACTGAATGTACTTTTACAAAATTATGTTTAATTTAATGCAGCGCTGTTTCAAAGTCTTAGTTACTTTAAAACATGATAAGATTTAAGAATGTTACTAAATTTCAGTGCTGCATTGAAATTTAAATGCATGAAGTGCATCCATAATGTCTTTTTTAAACACTCTATATGCAGGGATTTTAGCTTAGTAAGTTAAAAAGCCTCCTTTTCCTATCATGAAGGTGGCAGTTATTGAAAAGGTCTTTGTTTTCTAAAAAAAACATAAAAATCCTTTGCCGTGTGTATTGAGTAGTAGCAATAGCAACATTCTGAGATTCATACTGATGCATCTGAGGAGAGAGAAGCCTTTTCAAGACAGCTTGTTTTTTAGTAGGTCATTATCCAAGAGAAATGAGCAAATCATGACACCAACTTATTAAGACTGTAAAGCACGGTATGTGGAAACAAGTTGTCGTGGTTCTGTATGTCATGTTAGCTAAGGCACAAGTTTAAGGCACAAATACTACACACCAAAAGGCTAAGTCAACTTAGAAACTTTCTGCATTGAAGTGTTCTGTTTTCTTGTCTTCTTTTCAGACCCCAGCATCTGATGCAGCAGTAGAGAAAGAAGCTAAGGCTGAGTAACATCTGGTACCAAGTCTTTTATTGGTGGTCCTTATACCTTTCTTCTTGTACAATTCAGAGGAATATTTTTATCAACTATTTTGTAAATGCAAGTTTTTTAGTAGTTCTAGAAAACACATTTTTAAAAAGGAAAGAATCCCAACTCAACCCATTTTTTTACATATTTAGATAAGTGTAAATGCTTTTTTAAAGTGGTAAAATCGCGTACTGGTTGTCTGTTTTATATGAAACCAGAAATTAATGGCATGATACCTTAAGGAGAGGGCTTTGAAGCCTTGATTAGGCTTCACGTTCCATAGACTGTGAGGAATGTTTTTTCTATCCTATTAAATGAAGCATAACACAGCTCAGACTTTGGAATTCATAACGATATGTTGAGAACGTCTTGACATTTTAGTTACTTATCTTTATCTATGGTTGTACCATCAAGTAGAATTGCTTATCTAAATAAAACTGCTCCCTAGTGTTGGATTTCTTGCTGAGTGATGTATATCTGTGACAAAGTTATTTTTGGTAGTTGCAGCTTTATTTTTTCCAACAACTTTGTAGCTGTGATGCGAAAGATTGGAAACTTCTATTATACCTTTAAATACTAAGTAAAAGTTTGTGCTTGGCAGACATAACTTATGTCAGTATTAAATACACTGGAACTTCACATCCAGTTTTTAAAGGACAGCTTGTCTACAAAGATCAAATGAAAAATATTTGAAATAGTCCTAGGAAAAAAACCCAATTATTGTTTTTAGATTTTAAAAAACTATGTGAATAAAAACAATTGTAAAATTGTTCATAGTGTCTGTGATCACCAAACAAAAGCCAAATAAATCTTGATTGTGAAAGGATGTTTCTCTACCTCCTGCATTGAGTATGACAACTCACAATCTTAAGTGGTGTAGTTCTTGATTCTTAACCATGCGTTTAATATTGTTAAAAATGTAATTTTCAGGAGGTAGGTGGTAAAGCAGGGAGTGAGTAGCAAGGAGAAAAGTGTAGTTGCAGTCTTAATCTGGACTTCCAGTTTGAAAGCTGATAGCCTAGTGCTGCTTCTGTTACCTTAAAGTTAATAATTAGTAAGCATCAGATGTTTTCATCTGTTTGGCATCGAAGAGTTTGCATATGCACTCTTGTGTAAATAACTGCTTTAAGGAAGATGCACAAAGCAATCCTCTCAAACGTTAACTGATTGGGTGGTGCTGCTGCTGTTGTGTTGGAACCATATTGGAATTTCCCCAAATCCTGCCTTAAAATCAAGAAAGCTTCAGATGTCAGGGGAAAAACGAACCTAGGCTGTGAGCTTCCCCAGGTAGCCGACTTTATGGAATGGAGGTTGAGCCGTGTGGAACAGCCTGGCCAGGAGCAGGGAGGGAGGCACAAGAAAACTTCCCTTTTCGTGCTGCTGAGCTGTTGGGTGAGCTTACCGTGCTGTGAGCAAGTGTACCTGCTATATAAGGTTGCAGGCTTACAGAGCGTTGTTTCAAATACAACATTTCTGTGCTGAGAGCTAATGTAGGACAAAACTGTCCTGATTCTTCCTTGCTGTATGTGAGAAAATTAAATCGATCTTATTGAAAATTTAACAGCCTTTCATCAGAAGGGGGCATATTAAGTATATATAAATTAACCTTAAAATAAAAAATCAAATCTAGTACAGCATTACTTCAGTTCTGTCACAGAGTGCAGGGTTGTTTTGTTGGGGGCTTTTTCCAGTTTCACATTTTGCTGAGTTGCAGCAGGTAGTAGCATGGTTTTATCTTACTGGTCTATTTGATGCCAGTCAGACAGCTGTCAACCGTGTCTTGGGAGGAGTAAAGACCAAAAAATAACGTTTGTTCTTTGTTTCTCTCTTTTTTCCCCCCTTGACTGAGAACTTGTTTGTTCTCTTAAGTAACACCTGCAAGCACAGTATCCGCTTCCTCTACATTTTTCAAATGTCATACAGTTACTTCTAAAAACCACTTTAGTTTCACCTCTGTGAAACTCTTTTAGCTTACCATCTTAATGCTTTCATTTGAGAAGGCTTTTTACCACTTTACCTCTTCAATATTAAAGCAATGTTTAACTTTTCTGTAGCTCACATACAGTATGTCCTCCAACACTGGACCACAATGTACTTCTGGTCCATTTTGACCACGGCTGTGCTCCTAGCAGAGCGCACCTGGCTTTGGCAGTGGCTTTGGCTTCAAGCTCTTGGATATTCCAAAACTGTAAACTTATGCCACTTTTTCTAACCCCCTTGCTTTCTTCCTCCCACCCCCTTCCAGGTACCTTGTTTGTTGGTTTAATTTAGTAGTAGCATGACATAGCTACATGACATTCTTTACTTTCTGTTTTTAGCAAGTCAGTGACTTGCCAGTTCAATAACTAATAAACTTTGCAGGTAAATACCCTGAAATAACCTCTCTTACTTCCTTTTACTGATTGCCTACTTTTCATGTGTTTTGAGTCTTCGACGTTGAGATCCTGTTGGCTTTCAACATCTCTTGTAACTGTTCCTTAATATTTACTCTTGGGCTAAAAAGTTACTTCTTACTTGATTGTGGCAGTGAAAGGACTGGGCAAGGGTAAAGCAAAGTGAGCTGTGCTCACTCAAGATAGAGGAGTTTTCATGCTGGAAGAAGATAAGGACAGAGGTAGTTGTATCAGGAGCACAAGAGCCCTAGATCTGTTCTGAGCAACACGGCCCACTTGATGTGGTTAAGAATGAAATAGGCTTTCCTCATTACTGAAAGGATGCCTAGTAAATACATAGGTGAATCAACTACCAATTTTGATTGATTCTGCAAGTAGATACACTATTGCCCTTCTCCACACAGCATAAAATGCTAATGTGTGGCCATAAAACATGTTTGGCTATAGGGAAAATGAGGAATTGTATACGTTGGCACTAGATGTCAGTTCTGCCTGTGGAGAACCAGAGCAGAAGGCATTTAAATTAATCTGACAAGAATTTCCATGGGTGTGCTTCAGAACAAGCATTCTTTCCTGTACGTTTGCTCTGTGCAACTAAGGAATGGAGTGACAGCTAATGCAGATCTGCATACAGCACTACGGAATTGCATACATTAACAGAGGACCATCCATTTCAAAACACAGCATGAAGAGAACAAAAACAGGTTTTTTGAAGTTACTTGGTTGTATTTGTATGTTGCTACTAGTCATGGTTAAGAGGGTGCTGTTTCATACATGTTCATGCTGCACCATTCTAGAATTCATTTTCTAGTGTCAACTAGATCACAGCTCTGAAACATGAACACAGCCAGGATGCTGAAGTGCATCCAAGTTTTGCTAATGAATACCGATTAGTTTGGCAATGAAATCTAAAACACAGGTGGCCTTAACGAATGATGTGTCTGAAGCTTGTAACAATACAGGAAGCAGAAAACCATGGATCTCTTAAAAAAAAAAAAAATTTTTTTTTAATGGACAGGATGCCTTCCCC